CCCCCGAAAATACACATGCTTTACTGGTACTGTAAATATTACTCTTTTTATCTTTATAATCATGGCACATCTTTCACTGTCCTACTCATCAACATAATATAAACGTTTGAATGTTAGTCCCGTCTCTAAAATATTGGCGTAATGCAAGACATTGAAGGGGCAGGACCACTTTACAGCTACTCTACACTTAATTACATGCCCCCCCCCCCCTGCACGCACCTTTTCTTCCTCTAAGACTTGATACCTGTTGTACCACCTAGATAAGAAATGGAAGAGGAGGAATTAAGGAAAAGCCGTTTTTTAAATTATGGTCTTTGGGGGAAACATAATTTGTGGAGCCAAAAGAAAGACGTACGGACTCGAGTGAGCTCTCTACACAATTATGCTGTGTTCGGGCATTCACACACGTGCGCGCACACCAATATGGACACATGCACAAACACATAAAATATGTTAAAAACACATAATATAGACACCCCCTCCCCTTCTGGGCCTTATACACATAGATCTATACGAATCAACGAGACCTAACGTTAACAAAAATATTCGAATTATGAAACATTCTAGTTCTAATTTCTTCCGTGAAAGCTTTTAAAACTACAGACGAAGCTTTAGATAAATCATGTACTTTTTGTTGTTATTGTTCGTTTGTTTATTTTGAGGTTGTATTTTTTGTAGACTTGTACTCTTTAGAAAATTTAATACATCTTTCTTTTACGGTACTACCAGGTCGTACGACCTTGAGTGCGGATAGATCTGTGTTATTATGTATTCACACATGTAGTCATGTAGTGTTTTACAAAAGCAGCGTGCCTCCTTCTCGCCTTTGCTGGCACGCATCGTCTTGTCATCATTCTGAAACACGTGCCAAAATGTCGACTTGACACAATTAACTTTTTTTCCTTTTAGAAAAAAAAAAGTTGCATATAAAAGAGAGCCGTCGGCGTGCAGTTTCGCTGCTAGACTATGGTGTTGTGGCTTTCACATTTATTTCGAGTTTAGAACAGTACAGAAAGAGAATAATTTCTTGATTGTATAACGCTCTGAGTACTTTAGCCTACCAAAAAGCGCGCACAGGTTTGTGTTTTGAAGTGTCTGCTTCTTTGCCAACGCAACATCGTGACCCCACAGTAGCACCACACTTGCACATGAGGAAGTGACGTTTACAACTTGACCCACATCATGTAAACATCAACATGGAATCGCTAGGCTAAGGCACGTCGAGATGAGCGTGTTCGTTTTCTTCTTTTGTTTATGGATCTAAGTGGTTACAGTGAATTGTGCTTTTGTAAAGTGAAATATATGTTATGTTTCAGCCCCACAATCAGCCAGAGGGCCTGCAGATTGAAGGAAAAGTCGTAGAACATGCGGCTTTGCTTACGAGAGAGCAGTAAATGGCGGAAGGAGGACTATCAACACTGACAACAGGCCTACGTGACGAGGTGAATGTATGCCAGTTGTGTGGAGCACTTGAAAATTTGTCGCTGTGTGGGGGTTGTAGGGGTACCTGGTACTGCTGTAAAGCTCATCAGCGCCAGGATTGGAAAGATCATAAGCGGGCGTGCAAAAAGAGCAAAAAACCCTCGTCGATAAGTGACAGCGGACGTGAGGCCGACGCGACTGAGCGTGCGAAGCAGAGCATGCCTAACGAAGTCGAAGGCGCGGACGATTACACAGATGCAGATTCGGTTGGTGTCGACGATAATTCCAACCTAGAATCACCTTTAAAATTATCTCTTGACGAGCCCAGAGCACTGCCATGCCCTGTGACAGGTCACCAGGACATTACGGGGGGCAAAACCAGTCAAGAGGAAAAGGACCCTGCTGAGGCGGGGGAGGCGCAGCAGCTCACATCGCCAAGCGAGAGAGAGGGGGTTATTGATGACTCCCGCGAATGTGATGATAGCAGCCAGGTCCAGGGCAAGACTGTGCTACTAGGAAAACAGCGTACCAAGTCCAAGTCTTCCAAAAAGAAATATAAATATGAGCAGCAAGGAAACTTGCCCAGCATTTCAGAAGATGGCCTACCACCAGAGAGATACTATTTAGACCATTCAACACATAGGATAAGTCTGCCACCTATTGCGAGAGCAGCTGCAGCTAGGCAGGCGCAAGATTCAGCAATGGGTCAAGGGGAAGAATTACTTTCGCCGTCGCAAAGCAGAGAGCAGTACTTGTCTGTTTTGCGGTCTCGGTTTAAAGTTTTAGCAAAATATGTCGTGGATTGTCTTACAAAATATGGTATTTGTGTGATTGATAAATTTTTAGGCGAAAGCACTGGCTATGAAATCTTGAAAGAGGTGCTGCAACTTTCCTCTGCGGGAATTATGAAACAAGGTCAATTAGTGCATGGACCTTCTTCATCTAGCAATAAGTACATTCGTGGTGATATGATCACTTGGGTGGATGGCACAGAACCAAGAAGCGAAAACATCCATTTCCTTATTTCATGCATGGATGCAGTTGTGCTTCAGTGTGCCAGTCAGCTGGAACCTTACACCATCAATGAACGAACCAAGGTAGGTACCCCCATCGTTTGTTTACATAATTTTACTGAGGGCAAGGGGTTGTATGCTTTTTTATATTGATCTATAAAATTGCTGTGAGTTGATTTTTAAAGAATATTCTTGTTGGCCAATTGAGTTTTCTCACTCAGGGAATAAAAATTTAATCTTTGGGAACAATATATATTTTAATAAATAGATCTAATTCAAGCAAGTTTTGTTTAAGACTGTTTAATGATAAGTAGTCAGCTTTCTTTTTGCGGTTTAGGTAAGCTAAAAAAAAAATTTAATTTTTGAAAAGGTAGCCTACAGAATGTTGTAAAGATTGAATAAGTTTTAATTGAACACTCTGAAATCATTGATTGAATAGTGAAAATCTGGCTTAAAATTAATATTATGATTATTATAATGGATTAAAAAAAAGTTTGTAGGTATATCTCTTGATTTAGATTTGGTCTGTTTTTATTGCTATTGCTGCTGCTACTTATCGTCCTAGTGATACCAGCTAACTCCAGCAGGATACAATTTTTCAGGAGAAACAAAAATCATTAATAATTCATTGGTTTCAGCAGGCTGTGGATTCTGCTTTATGGAGCATTTCGTGTCAAATTCAGACCTGTCTTTGAATGTAGACCTAGCTGAGCCTAAAGAAACTGATAATTTATAATAATTTGTGAAATAAAAAATTCGTATGTAATTTTTGATAAAAAGAAAAATGTTTTGTGAGTTGGCTGATCTTATCGCAAAGGCGACGAACTTGTTTAAAATATTTTGTTTAATTAAAGTCAGAGATAATTTTGAAGGATCTGCTAACGTTGTGGCCTTTGTAATTGTTTTTTAATTATATTGACAAGCTAATCAGGGCCTGTCTTGGGAACTTTCCTGAAGCAATAAATTTAATGGAAAGATGTGATTGAAACCTTTTTATGGAGGTTGTAAATTATATGTGGAAAAAAAAATAGTCATTGTAAATTTCACAACATAATGTATTTTGTATGAATTTTTTCTCCTAATTTTACAGTACACTGTTCATGATTTTCTCAATTTTTTTTCTGTGAAGGCGATGGTGGCATGTTATCCTGGGAGAAAGACCCGCTATGTTAGACATGTTGACAATCCAAATGGTGATGGTCGCTGCATAACCTGCATTTACTACCTCAACGAAAACTGGGACGTCAGGGTAAGTCAGATAACACAGTATAGGAAGTTAAACATTCTGTGTTACTATTCTGCTTTAGGCTAACATGAGTTTGTAGAACATTTTTTTCATATCTCTAACATTGAATTTGTAAACCCATTAAAAATTTTAAAAAACCAATAGCATGATCTTACTGAAGAATATTGTGATTCCGTGTTCACATTTTATGACAGTGCTGTCAGGCTATTACATATTTAACTAAGAAGTGCACCTGTTTAATTTTCTCAAAAGTTTTGTATTCTTTGTAGATATTAATTGAAATGTGTAATTTTTCAGTCACGCAAAGAATTAAAACTTGTGTTTTTGTTATTTTACAATAAAAGTAAAAAAAAAAAAGATATTACATTATACATCACATTTATTTCTTTATCCTTGAATGTTTTTTTTAAAGTCTAACTCAAAATAGTGATGTAATTGATATTCATATGGTGTGTTTTATTTTCAGTAACTAGAGAAGAGATAAAAGGATTAAGATTTTGGGGTTTTTTGTTTTTTTTTACTTTTGAATTTGCACCTTGTGAAAATTTTTGGAGATTTTTACAGACAGGCCAGATCAACAATGGAAGTTGCTACATCAGCATGCATTGTATCGTTTCTAAGTTTTATAAAAATGGCAAACTACATTGCTTATCTTATCCAATAGACCAAAGTGCAGTTGTTGTACATGGGTGACTAACTATATTACCCTTGCCTTCTGTGTATTATATGCACGCCTCCGTGTACAGGTTATATTATAATAGTAGGGCATATATATCAGGAGCTTAGATCTGCAGGTCTAGTCTATAGTAGGCTCAGTTGGGCAGGACTCGTCAAGAAATTATTTTGTTCTTTTTTGTTAAACATTTCTTTAAGTTTACTTGTATTTTTCATTTGGTTTCTTTGTTTTTATAGATACTGGAATATTCACTGTTTTGTAATTCATCATATCAGAATATTGTATAAAATTAAATTTGTATCCTGTCACTTGTGACGTAACATATTAAAAAATTTTAAAATATAATGAGCAGATTTTGAAAATCTCATCCAATGTAATATTTTTGGTTAAAAAATGTTTCAGCAACACGGAGGACTCCTTCGAATCTACCCTGAGGGTGAAGACAGAGTAGCAAACATTGAACCAAAATTTGATAGACTGCTCTTTTTCTGGTCAGACCGGAGAAATCCTCATGAAGTTGAGCAAGCTTTCAAAGAAAGGTAAGAGCCATTTTGATGCTCATGTTAAAGATGTAGTTTGGTATTCTTTTAAGATGCAAAATCCATTTCACACCTACCTGTTAAAAATTTTCCTATTTTAAAAAAAAGGAAAAACGTTAAGATTTTTGTCTTTCTTTATTTACAGTCTGGAGTAGTAGTGGGACTGAAAATCTGTAATTTTGTAGACTTTTAAACTTTGAAATGAGACTGATATGCTTTTCACAATTATTCCAATTTTTTTATTTATTTATTTGTTTTTATTTATTTTTTGGGGGAGGGTATTTTTTTATTATTCAAAATATTAAACTTAATTTTTTTAAAGTCAGTATATTTTTTAATTTCTTTGGTAGGCTTCGTTTGTTGGGGGTACATTTGTTTTTATGATAGGCAGTTTGACTTGATATAAAGGTGCAATGGTCTCCTTGTGTTTGAATGAGGTCACCACAGAACTTCGATATTTTATGTTGAAAAAGTGCTATGTTTAAAAACTTTAAAAATCAAACTGACTTCTATATGCAGGTATGCAATAACAGTTTGGTACTATGATGCAGAGGAAAGAGCCCAAGCACTGAAGAGATTCAAAGGTTTGATATATTGTCTTTCATTCCTTTTTAGTTTTTTTAAATATCAGAACAAAGTGGTGGCTCACCCGTTCCTTGTTCACATCTTGTATTGTTGCTCAGTATGGATGGATGGATAGAGGATGAATTAGTAATTCTTACTTGTTTCTGTCCATCTGTTATTTTTTTTCCCCCAGCAACATTTTACACTTCCCCAACCCTCAATGTTTATTGTTATGTTGATGTTCTTCCCAAAAAGTTTTCATTGTTTTGTGGACTGTGGGTTCTTCTATTAATAGTGCACCTGAATTTTGCAATAGGTAGTTCCCTTTCTAAAACATACTAACCCTTGTCTCCTATCCACTTCGCCTATTAAGAGACTCTCATCAAGGATGCTGTCTGTCCAGTTGTTTGGATGTGGGTAAAGAGGAACAGAATCATAATGAACAAATTGCTGGCCAGCTGTTCAGATGTGCCAGGCCAAACATTTTGAAACTTAAAAAATTGCAGTTCCTTAATCTCTGGTATCGGTTTTACATACATAAAAATTATTTTGTAAAAATATGTTGAAAAGCAAAATAAGATGCATCATGTCGGTACAATTTTTATTATTAGAAAATGGGACAGTTTTTGCATTCTGGGCTTACAATGTTTTAACAGCTTGCCGACAAAATGCATGTTCCTTTATTTTCCCCTTCTGAAGGTGGTGGATGATTGGAGGGCACTACTTGTTGTCCCACTTTTTTTTCCTTTCTTTTTATTTAATGTGTTTGCTTTCTTGCTTTTTCTCTGTACTGAATGACTACCATTGTATCAATGTTCTAGCTCTTAACTCCGTTGTATTATCTTTTTCTTCAAATTTAAATGCATTGTCTTTTGTAAATGATCACATAGCTTTTGCAGTTTGTTATATAAGTATTCAAAACTATAAAGAAAGACATCCTTAATTTGGAGAGCATTATTTTTACTAAATTATGCCTAAATGCAAAATGTGAATATGCGACATTTTCTCTTCGTGAGAAGTTAATAAATCTTTCATTCCATTTCCAGGGAGCTCAGACTCAAACAGTATTAAACGCCAGGCAGTTCCTTTAATCAATGGTAACCAGAACTTAAACTGATGTGCAGAGTGTTCGAGCAAGTGTGTATCTGCTACGGTTGTGGGATTCAATTGTTCCTCTGTGAATAAGAGATTGAAAGAAAACTGATGATGAACTGGCAATGTGTCATCTAGATTGGTTTGTTTACCTGTGTGAAGTTTGTGATCAACTTTTGAGCTCTTCAGAAAGGCTTGATGTGATGTGATGTTCCAACATTTTTATCAACTTGGAGACTGCTTTTAAGGTATGAGGAAAGTTCAGGAGGAAAAATGTGTTCTTGATATATGATGCTGTGTAAAATGTTGTGAGTTTGCAAGTACTGACTGCTTCCAAAATGTTGGATGACCTCCTTTTGATTGCTAGTCCCAAGGATATTTTTTAAGGAAATATTCTGTCACAGAGAAATGTGATTGTTTCCAGTGAGTGGGTTTTTATTTTCATTTTACATCAAGACAGCTGACTTCAGAGCAGGAGATAAGAGCTTTACCATGACTTACTGAATCAAACAAGTATTCTGTGATGGGAAATCTTCATTCTCATTTATCAAAATCCCTCTGTGCCTCTATGGAAAACAAAGTGATTTTTCTAAGACACGTTGATTTTCTTTTTGTTGTTCACCTTTTTCAAGCTTCAGTTTATCATGTGAGAGCAAGGGATGATAATCTAATGCTTCAGTCAAAGAGCATTCCTCATTGTTTGCTGTACTCTGTGAGGAAGTTCTATTATCTTCCTTTTTAAATATCAATAGTATGCTAAAGAATTGTTTCTGGGTGTACTTTGTGAATGAAAGTGCTGTGAGTGTTATGGTTCTCCTGTTTCCTTTAGCCCACCATTTCGAGTCTCTGTTGTGAGTGTTGTTCATTACTTTTCTTTCTGGGTGTTCTTGGATGTGTCTGGGAATTTTGTTTCACTAGGGGTGGGTTTATTGCAAGGTTGACTGATGTACAGTTTGTCATGAATGGTTGTGAAGTAACCATAATAAAGTTGTTCTGATTTTTTTTGTGTGTGTGGGTGTGTCAACCTAAAGACAGGTTGACTGATAGATGGTGAGGTGGGGATGGAGGCAATAAGTAAAGGGAATTCATGGGAAACTCTCACTATGTCAGAGGTAGTGGCTGTTTTTCTGATCAGGGACAAATTTCTCTTTTGCGCCTTTCTTCATTCAGTTTTTTTCCACTGGTTTTTAATTTTTGAAAAGTGTGTGTGGATGGTTGGTGGGTGCTCTGATGTGGTTTGCTTCTTCTGTCCTATCAATCGTCTATCATAATTATCTCCCCTCCTTCTTTTTTGTGTTTGTTATTCTCTTGTAACACCTCTAATCTTTGGCACTTATATGACCTTTTTGTGTTGCAAGTGCCGTAAAACACTAAAGCTAAAGCAGAAAAGTGTGTTTTTGAAGTCTTTCTTTTATTCTTTTAACAGATGCCTTAAATACTTTGGTTCAAGAAAATAGGAATTTGGATACTTTGACAGAGAAATTATTGCTCAATCAATATATATTTGTTTTATATTTGACTTTAGTTTGCCTAGATAATTGTTCGTAAGTAGAAAAAAAGAGTTGTTTGTGTATGTGTTTGTTTTTGTGCGCTGGGCTTTGAGAAAAAATGCGTTATAATGTGCCTCTAGTTGTTTTATCAAAAAAGTGCCATATGTTTTAATCATTTTTCTTTTGTGCTAAAGTTGAAAATTAGTAGACCATCGTTGTCATATCATTTCATTTTGGCATTTCATTATTCATTTATTGTTTTGATCCCATAATCCATTTAGAATTCCAAACCATTTCCAGATTAACATGACATTGTCATTGAATTTATTCAGACCTATTCTATTTTTTCAATATTTTCTGAGCACAAAAGAGCTCTGATGAACTGAAACCAATTCCTTTTCTTTCAATGCTTTACCATTTTTGAATATATGTGATTAGTGTGTCATTCATTAAATTTTCATCTTTCTTTTTGCTTGTAATATAATGCATCTACTTTAGACGATCTTTATGGTGGTTTATATTTAACAGTCAGAGTAGGGACATTGGAAACAGACCAAGATTGATAGGCATGGTGCAAAGAAAATTTCCCTTTTCTAACTGCCTCTCTTTAACCCTGTTCTTTCCCAACGTAATTGATGTGTCATTGATTCTTTCTCATTCAGAGGTAAAGGAGTGAAGGTAATCAGCAGCCTTATGCTATTGTTTTAATTCTCCACCAATGCCTTGATAAATGTGTCATATCTATCATATGCAAGAAGCCTAAATTATTCTATCTCAGTAAATGCATCAACTAAGGACATAAGCTTAAAAATGCAAGATAGTTAAATAAAAATTTTGATACTTCCATTTAACATGCTCTACTCTACTTCATGTCACACTTAAACCAGTGGTGACTTGTATGGTGCATGAACGTTCTGACCAGTGTTGCAATTCAACAGGGTGAGGGATTGAATGCCGTCTGTTACGGTATTACTCATACCTAAATATTAGGTCTCTTAATTAAGGCACAGGTAGGCCAGTGTTGAAAATGTTATGGTATGTAAATTAGATCCTAGATTATTAAGAAAGTTTGAAGTTTGATAACCCTTGCCTTGCACAGAGATGAGTATGAAAATCAGTCCTGTAAGGAAACAGCACAACAGTTATGTGATTACTTCATGAAAATGCTTTCTACGTGTATAAAAACATGATGTTAAGACTTGTTTGTTAGCCACTGTTTTGAGGTACTCACTTTTCCTACTATCAGTTGTTAGCTAAGTGTGTTTACATCATGTGAACTCTCTGCACTTGAATCATAGCATTGTTTTCACACTGACTTGATTTAGTCTTGTTTGTAGTAAACAAAAATTCTCTTTTATTCTAATTGCATATGAAACATACATTTTAAGAACAGATTTTAAGCTTGTGTCAATACACATACCAGTGTGTCATTGTGGACGAAGAGAGAAAGTACACTACAGTTTTTGTTCAGGGGCAGTTTTGTGTTAAATAGGAAAATAGATACCTAATGTACTTAACATGATCTTACAATGTTCTGTCATTAATGTCAAGTAAGTAGTTTTCTACCGGTATCCACAACAGGGAATTTTTCTTCTCATTTTTTTCTGTTTGTGTATTTAATAGTTATAAAGGGCAAAAGCCTGGAGCCATACTAAAATGCAGTTAGTAAGTGCTTTCATTTTGTAAAGAATCCATAGTGGACTGAAATGTATTTGGAGATAATCTTACAGAGTCTAGTCTGCGTGCTGACAAATTCTTCACCCCAATTTCATGCACTGAGTATGACTTTTTTTCCAATGATTCATGTACTGTAATGAAGAAATATGAACAAGGACCCACCACGAAGATGTTGTGGCTAAATGGATACCAGAGTGAAACCCTGGTGGTATCATTGAAAAAGTCATTCTTCTCTGGTTTTAAATAACGTTTTTCCTTATCTGTATAAATAATCTGTTGTTAATAGTGAAAAATTGGAAGTCCGTACTTCTGAGAGGGAAGTTCTATTTAGAGTGCATCTTTCAAATGAAAAGTCGAATAGATCCTGTGCAATATATTTTTGAACCTTCGTTCAATTAATGTCAGCTTCTGCTTTTTTGCCCCTGACATAAAGCAAGCAGTGTGAAAACTGGACACTTAAGCACACAAATACAAGAAGAAAATGTGCCAAAATCAAACGATGAACAAGACAGTTCTGAGATGCCTGTACCTTTGTTCATTTGAAATTAGGTGTTTCAAGCAACAATGAAAGTAGTTTGATGGTCAAGCTTGATGTTTCTGTTCTACTTGATGGTCTGCCACTGGACCAGTAAAAAAGTATTCTCTATAGCTCTTTGAAAATGACATTATATAAGTCTGTCCTTAGCAATGTTATTCCTATCTGCTGTTTTTATTTCTTATATAGTTGGGCACAGACACCACAAACACAGAAAACTTGGAATCGCGGTTAGCTCATACAATTTGCCATTCCTAAATTGATATCTTTTTAATTTTATGTTATCAGTTAACTCGAATTATGGATGTGTCGAACGTTTTTGTCAATCCCTGACATGTTTGAGTATCCCTGCTTGACTGTGTTTTCATTTAGCAAAGCTGTAAAAAGTTGACAGTCAAATAACCATGATGAAAGTCTTGTAGTGGAGGAACAAATACATCTTGTTCATGGTTTCTGTCACAATCATCATAATGTATGTTTGTTTGTGTTTTGGGGTTGGGTTTTTTTGTTTTTTTTGTTTCATAGTGAGTGCGAACTTATAATTTATATGTATGGCTTACAGACTTGATCTACCTCAGTATCATTCTCTTTCTAGTGGATTGAGATTCAGTCTTTGCAACTTGAGTGGTACATTTTTAACAAATGCCAAAGAGGTTCTCAAAGATTACTTAAAGAATGAAGTAGGGAATAGCCCTGGGTTTTTTTAAATTACTGAGCAGTTTTTATATAAATTTACGTTTTGCCTCGATAAATGTTTCTTTTTATTTCTGACATTCTTTCAGAGGTGGAAATTTTTACTTTTTCTTTCTAATAAAAATAATGATTACCAATCAAATACTTTTATATTTTTGCATTTTTTTTCTTTCTTTTTTTTTCTTTTGGGGTGAGTGCTTGGTTTTAAGGAAAATGACATGTTAGGTTGTTGTCATCATTGTCTCTTTTTCCATTGACAAGTAGATATGTTTTTGTTTTAAAGATATATTAGGAAAGTAAAAGTCTTGCTCAGTGTTCAGATCTGTCTCATTTGTTGATGAAAATGTGAAAGTTGTATGTCTATACATTGTGTGCCAGAGATGCTTGATAATGCTGTCACTGATGGTGCTGTGATTGGCATTGGGTTTTTTTTTCCCCCTCAATACATTTCCACCACTTATCACTTTGTGTGACCATCTATTCTCCTGCCATGATGTCTACCAATTATGTTCTCAGGAGAAAGCATACCCATTTCTGGGATTTGAATAATACTTTTTGTGTCAAACAAACCTTTGCCTCGCAATCGAACAAAGAGTATGTTTACTTCAATTTAGTGTTAATTTTTTTCATGCTTGAATTTACAGAATGCTACAGGTACCTTTGAAGTTGAAATTTGACTTGTGTTTTCCCTTTAATGATTCTTTAGGGAGCTTTGTAAGGAAGTATGAGTGTACAGTCACTAAGTGTTAAGGGGAAGCTTTGTAAAATTTCACTGTTCATGTAAGGCATGAATGGAAATTTTAAACAGAAACCTACACCAATCACAGAGGAGCGTTTTTATGAATCATATCGTTTGAATAGTTGTTAGTTTGATCTATGACCTTGGTTTGAAAGTATTTATTTGGTGAATGTGGTAAATTAAAAATTTGGAAACTGTCTTCTAAGGTTTTTCGAAAACTTAAAATCCCTGGTCACAACAGACTCATATTTTGTAACTGATTGTCATAGTGGTCAAAGAGTGCAACTTTGCTGAAGCATTAATAGTAGTCTGACCTGCTCTTGTTTTCGGAGAATTGTTGCCCTCTTGAGTCACTGTGTGGTATTATTGCAGAACAGCATATATGACTAGTCTTGTGAATGACAACGACAAAAGTGCTGGGTATTTACAGTCAAACCTGTGTAAGACGGAATCGCAAGGGAGTGGGGAAAAAGTTCCGTCTTAGACAGGGGAATTGGGGGGGGAGTTCAAAGGCCAAGCCGGTGGGATCAAGGATCGCTTGTCCGATCGTCAAGCAGTGGTCAAAACTTCACACCTCTCAGCTGCTATCCTGTCTGATAGTGACATGCGTCAGTCTTACTTATCCAATTACCGTCAGTGCTTGCCTTTCATAGGACCACTGTTTGACCTATTAAAAACAGAAGCGTTTGAACATCTCCTTTGCTTCCCCCCTTAGTCCCACCCACCAATGCCATCCCTCACTGCCATCATGTAACAATGATTCGAGGAACTCTTTTCTCGGCTGGCCGTACGATCAGGGTGGCAGGCATTGGTCAATCTAATTTCACACCTCTGGCTTCTGGCTACCCAAGAAAGTTTCCGTGGTAGTGGCTCGCTACTCGAGCACTCTCACGGGTAGTCGTGAAAAATCACACCCACACTACATTGACCATCTGCAGTGCTCATTGCTCACATGATGGGGTAACATAGGGTAACTTCTACCCCCATCGCACCCCTACTCCCCTTCCTCGCCCAGCGACATGGCCATGGCGTTAAGTTTAGAGCTGGCAGAATCAAACTTGTGAGTTTTGTTTCAAATCAGGGCTGAGCGGGCAAAGCATTTTCCGTCTTAGTCAGGTGAAACCCTCGGAAGGGAGCGGATTTCCTTTCCGTTTCCGTTTTATACAGGTAATTAAAGAGGAATATATCAAGGGGGGAGCGGGGAGATTCCGTAAAGACAGGTTTCCGTTTTACACAGGTTTCCGTTAAGGCAGGTTCGACTGTATATCATTGTTTTAAATAACTGTCCATCGCTACCCAGTTTGATAGCTGAAATTCATACCCCCTTTTAACCTTTGGTCTCATCAGAGACGCAGTTGTCCAGTGCATTGTTTGAATTTATTCTGCCAGTGCATATATATGGATTAAGTATATGTATTCCTATCA